TCACGAGTATAAACAGTGTATCTAGAGTGATTAAAAAATTATCACCATTCTCATGGGAACATCTGTCAGGGTACATCAAGTACTGGTGTTTTATCTACGAGTGGGGCAGTAGAGATAGAAACACCACTACATAAAGAAAAAATGTTTTATCAAAACTCAAATGCACCTAGGAAATAAAAAAGTCCTTGCTGTGCTGTTGATTGACCCTGACAACGTAATCATGACCCCTTCACATGAAGCTTTTACTTGTGAAAAATTTTGTGAAGGTCCTAGACAACAACTAATGCATTACGGTCCTATGCACTACGTTTCCAGAGTTGAGTTTTGTGAATGTGAAAAAAGGTACATAAATAAAGAAGGTAATAGCAGTCAGCCATTTCCAAGACTTACTAATCGATACTGAAAAAGTGCATGGATGGCTTTCAAATCCGTTATAGCAAATTTTCTTGGAAAATAAAAATCTGATATGTAAATGATGCGAAGAAGTGCATCATAGCCTATAAAAAGCTGAGTCAACATGACTCAAAATTTGTCTCCTCAACTCACATCTTAACTTCTGTCACCGAAAATCTAGGTTCGATCAGTGATGAACATTGTATTCAACAGGAAAGCTCTGCAATGGAGTAACATATGAGGGGGCAAGTGCAGCAATATTGGCTAACTACTCCTGGACACTTCAACATGACATGCCAAATGTTCAGCGCAAACTATAATTTACAGGCAAGAAATTGAAACCAAATACACCTTAGATTAAGTATTTTCAGTGTGTGTGTATTTTGTGTGTGTATAATCCACATTCATTAGTACTCCATTAAACAAAATGTTTTCTAGTGAAATATAAATGGTTGGAGTGTATATCTAAAAAAACGTGGATGATAGACAAATGGTTTGTATATTTTCAATTAGCATGTTTCACTTATCTTTGAAGAACTGTTGGATATCAAGATATAAGCCAATTTTTTAAATTTGCTTTTCAGTATTATTATATTGAAGATCAAAATATCATTACTTCTGTAATTTTGGCTGTTTAATTGAATTAATATTTTATCTATTCTGTGTTATTTTGTAAATATATGCATTTATTAATACTTTTGACACTGGTAAATCTGGTCAACATGCCGTATAACTCTTCCGAGACCATTTTTATGTAGTGTTCACGTACTTGTGATTACTGATTGAAGTTATTTTGAATTTTTTGTTCTCTTCGTTTTTTTTTTTGTTTTTTTTAAGGTTTGTTTGTTGTTGTTTTTTTATTTATTTTTTTTTAGGTGCATAAACAACAGAGGTCATGAGCGACTAATACATTAATAAAATGAAGTTACAATTCAGTTAAAATATCAATATTTTTGCAAAATTGTATCACTTTCTTTGTATCTTGGCAAAGTGAAAATTGCATTGAAATTTTCATTTCCTAGGCCCATGTTTCTCTCTTCATTTGTGGACAGCCAAAGTTCCAGAAGGATGTACTTTATTGATAGAATAGTGTTGCAGAAAATATAAGGAGGTTGTGCAACTTTTTCAATTAAAAATTTATGAGGGAATTTAGAAGAATATGACCAAATTCTTGTTACAGCAACTCGTTCTTGACTATTAATTGACGTAGTTGTTACAAGCCAAAAAAAATTAGTAATATTTTTACAAGTTCTGCTGGAATTAGCCATGATTCATTCCATTGCATACTTAATTTTTTCTTAATGTATTTCCAAATATCTTGAACTCATGATTGTTTCAGATGGATGGTTTTGGTGTGCTTTTGATGCATCTCTTTTAGCTTCTAGTTCAGCTACATCATTACCAAATATATCTTTATGTGCTAGTATCCAAGCAATAATTATTTTTCCCACTTTAGATTCATTAAAATATGTTTCATGAATATGGTTTAATAATTCAGATGTTTTAATGTTATTTATTATTGTTATTCAGGTAATCACTGTGTATTGTTTGCTGCAAATATTTGCTGTATATATTTACAGCAAATATTTGCGGTAAATATTTGGGAATTGTACTAAATGAGGATCTGGGGTGGGCGGAACATGAAAATTATATAAGAAAAAGGCGTGGAAGACATTACACTTTGTGATTAGAGTGCTCAGGAATGGAAGTAGAAAATCAAGGGAATTAGGGTACACATCTCTAGTATGGCTGATACTGGAATATGGCTCCATATGTTGGGACCCATATCATTTAGGGCAAAATAAATGTCTCGAAAAGTACAAAAATATGCCGCAAAATATGTTAGGAGAGGTTGTTCCAATTCTGAATTTTTATCTTGGGAACCTTCGGAAAAACAAAGAGAGAAATCGCGTCTTTGTGCGATATTCAAATCAGTACGAGGTGATCGTCTGTGGGGGGACGTTCGAGCAATATTATTAAAACCCACCCATTGGGAGAAAGTATCATAGTTCTAAAATTCAGCAAAGAAAACATAGAACAGATGTAGGTAAATTTTCATTTGTAAACAGAACCATACAAATTTGAAATGAATTGCCTGCAACAGTGCTGGGCACTTTTTACCCTCAGAATGTCAAAAATTTTAAAATTAGATTAAATTAATTGTAATTTTTTTAGAATATGTTAACATTATTTTTTTTAAATTATTATTGTTATTTTATGTCAACTTTAGCATGATAGGTTTAATCTACTAATCTTGTAAAATTGTATTAAGTAATACATAAATATTGTAATGTTCTTTTGATTGTTTGTGTTGTGTATTTGTAATTAAGAAACTACTAAGAAAACGCTACCAACGGAAATTTTCCACGTATTCCTAAGTAATAAAATAAATATTCTATTCAGTCATACAACAGAGAATGTAATTTTGACATTTACTGCATGATTTAATGTATTATTTGACATTTTCATGTCAAGAACATAAACTAAATGAATATAAACCTACAAAATTGTTTCAGTGGTCATAGATAAATATTTATATCTCACGGCATGAAAAAAAGGATAAATTGCTTTATTTATTTGTCATTGTAAATAGATGCAAAAAGATATTGCTAATTAGGAAGAAGTTTTGCAGTCAGCAGTTCAAAATATCAAAAGAAAGTTTAAGGTGAATGTACATTTAGAATGCAAAAACGCAAGAAATTATGGCAGAAAAAATACACTTTACCAAAAGTTGAACGGAAAATACTTAGCATTGCATTCGAAAACCATCGGAAACCACAGAAATGTGAAAACGAGATTCTCGAAGAAGCTGGAGTACATCTATCAGAGCGAAATCTCAGAAGATGATTTGTAGAAATGGATCTCAAACATCAACGACCTGGGAGATAGCCCAAACTTAAAACCGCAATGATGGAAAAAGAGGTTAAATTTTGCTTAAGGAATTGCACCAAAGTAGTTTAGAACAAGGTTTAAAATGTGTTTTAAAAAAATTAAAACAGCCAAAGACAACAAAAACTTCTACAAATGTTATAGTGCGGATTTGCTTCTAAGATTAGTCGTCAATCCAGATCTTGCAAGGCAAGTCACAGTTCATTCGACAGAGGCGTAATAGAACAAGAACAAGAGAGAACAAGTATAATAAGAACTGCATTGTCGAATGATTAAATCAGCCTCTTTTTGTTCTGTTTTGGTTGTTTATTAAGCTGCCATAGCACAGAATGGCTCTACTTTGTGCAAACAACCATGCGTCAGAACCAATACATGAATTCTCTTTCCTCAGGTGAAAAAATACTTCCTGAAGGACTTTGGGTTCATGCACAGTTCGGTTTCTTGTCGCAAAGCTCTAAACAGAACACACTTTTTCAAGAAAAACAACATAAAAGCCCTAGACTGGGCTGGGAACTCAGTGGATACGAATCCGATTCAGAATGTGTGGGAGGAAATAAAAAAAGAAAAATTGAATGATAAAATTATTACAACCAAGAATGATAAATATCATTAAAATGACTAGGGTTTGGTAAAATGCTTCTCTATTGCCAGAAAAGGCCATAAAATGCATCACAAGCATACCAGTACGTATGAAATCTCTCAAGAATGCCAAGGGAGAATTCACAAAATACTGAAGAATTTGTTCCTATAGTTGTAAATAATTTATTGAAGTATTATGAACATCATTTTTTTATTCCTTCCTTAAAAACCCTACAGTTAATAAAATACACTATTAAACAGTTTCATATAAAATCCGTCAACAATCACGAATAAATTTAAAAATTACCTCAAAAAACACTCTAGTATAATAATTTGACCATCCACTGTATAGTGTCAAAAACGTATATACGAAAACACATATCTGAAATAATGTAGCACAGAAAGTAAAGAAATTTATCTGGGACTTAAAAAAGAGAAAAGTATAAATGTGAAAAACGTATATAAGGAGTTTTATCTTGAACAATTAAATAAATGAATTTTGGATAGTAAAATTCATTTATGTTAAATGAATTACGATTCTCTTAATTCACAATTAATCACAAACACATTCAGCGATTTGAATAATTTTGATTTGTATTCTTTAGCAATATTATTTTTTATTTATTTTCTTTTCACATACTCTGTGTTATATTATTGTTATTATAAAATTTGTCATAAACATCATATTGCTCATTAAATACACCACAATTGTAAATCTCCATTGTTTTTGTTTTAATTTCATTGAATGGAAATAAAATTAATTTTTAACTGCAAATGTGATGAAATCAGATTACTGAATCACAATGTGTATATTTGATATCTTGAAATATATCCTATTTGAGTAAAGATAAATAATATTTAAATACCTTTTCTGGGAAAAAATTTGAAAAATTGATATCAGAATAAGTGATATTTACAATAATAATATGTAAGCAAGTTAATTCATATGAAATATAAATTGATCTCAAAAGGCCATATTGTCCACAAAAGACCACGTAATTAATAATTAATTGCATGATCAGCTATGATTGTCATATTGAATTCTCACAATCAATGTGTTGTGAATTAACATTTCCCTTAAGGAACTTACAAATGGAAACCATCCTAATGCTCCCAAACAATTTTATAACTTCTCTTACCTTTGTGGAGAATTTGTTGTAAGCTAAACCTTCTGGGGCTGTCCACTTGATTGGAAATTTTGCTCCAGCATGGGCAGTGTATGTATCATCACGCATTAATCGTGCTAATCCAAAATCAGCCACTTTAACTAAATGGTTCTCTCCTACAAGGCAATTACGAGCTGCCAGATCACGATGAATGAAATTACGACTCTCCAAATAGCTCATGCCACTTGCAATTTGTGTTGCGATGTACATCAGAACAACAGCTGTGATGTGTTCTTTACTGCCATTTCTTAAATAATCCAAAAGGTTACCCTTACTCATGAATTCAGTAATAATATAAAAGGGTGGCTCACGGGTACAGACACCTAAAACAAAAACAAAAATTGATATGAGTAAACAAAGACGCACAAGTTTGAAACCACAAATTTTGCAAATAAAATGAATCAAACATCTGCCATGATGTACTTGAATAACCATAAAGGGTCAATATTATTACATCATATAAAAAAACATTTATTTAGATTTATTCTTCTTAAGATATTAATTCTTTGCTAAATGTCTAAATAAAAACTTCTCACACTTCAAAAAACGGACACATACTACACAATTGCATCAAACTTTCACCGAGGTTAACTACTTATTCATATTCCATTCATAGCCATTTATCACCTTCATCAGTAACATGCAACCCTACAGGTTTGTTAAGTTCGCATGTACCTACCTGCTTGTTAAGAAATTTAACATCCATAGAAAGGTTTTAAGATCCTTAGCAACCTAAATAAACAACCATAGATTCATCACAAGTCAAATGTTTATTAAGAAAAACCATGGCATTGTGCAAAACAAAGATTCAAACAATGCAGAATGAAAGTAACTCAGTTTTGGGGATAATTATTGTTATAATAGTTGTAATATTAATAGTACAAATAAAAAAATGTATATTAGGTAAATTAAACTTATTTTCCTGGTATTCCATCAAATTAAACTCTTATCTGGTAACCCTATTTACTAACAATCTGAAGGTGTTGCTACTGGAAGTCCTCACCAAATGTCATTTCTTTAGATATTTTTAGATTTGGAGAATTATTTGCATCCATCTTTTTTCAAATCACAGCAATGAATCAATGGTTGTTTATTTATGTTGTTAAGGATGTTAAATTTCTTAACATAAAGGTAGGTACAAGTGCACTTAACAGACTTGTAGGGGTGCATGTTAACAAGATTTAAAGATGTATGTGACCAATAAAAATAATAACAATTGGTAATTCATAATTGCAAAGCAGTAAGAGACACTGAAATAATGAACATAATGATATTATACACATTCATATACATGGTGTAATAAACAAATACAGTATGATCATTGGAATTCTTGGAAAATGATGTCCTGTACCACTACTTGAATTACTGTACTATCCTATTGGATGTTTAGAAGTGTACTTTGGTCCATTGGGTTATTACCCCTACATTTAACCTTATATGTATTCACGACGAGTCAATATCTCTTAAAAGTGTAGTAGTCAGATTAGTGTACCGCATTATTTATTCTAATTATTAGGAAATTTGAATAACGGGATGATTTATTAAAAGTTTACTTTGAGTGAGATAAAACTCAATGGCAGAGAGGCAAAGGAAATAATGCAAGAAATATACAAGAATCACACATTTTACAATATTCACAATAAAATACGACTTCATAATATTTTAAAACATTAAATATGCAAAGAATATGAAATTAAAATATCTGGTCAAAAATGATAAACCTGCTGTGAATAATGGATGTAAAAGAAAATTCAATAATTTAAGAAATAATAATTTGGAAATACAATAGGGTTAGAACAAAGGGATACAGAAGAAGAAATAATACAAATTTAAAAGAAACAATAGAATAATAAAGTCACTATAGATACATGCGAAAAATGATTATGAGAATTCATAACATCATATCAAAAGCAAAGTTAACATAAGATTCAGAAACCTGGGTAATGAGTATAAATCAATCCAGAAGTGTGGAAGTAACTCAGATGAATTTTTTGAAGATCATTTTTATGAGTAAAAAAGCAGACAAATTTCAAAATGAACTGAAAACATTGCAAGATTAAAAACATACCAGAGGAAATGGAAAAGGCATATAAAAAGAAACAACAAACAGCAACTACCATGGATGACGTTACAGACAGAAAAAGAGACAGGCAGTTGAACAAACAGATGGCATAAGCAAGAACACTTCACTGTGTGATCAAATACTACTTGTCTATTCTGACAGAGGACCAGAACACAGACCAAATGTGTTGTTGCTATTGTTGTTGTTATTGTAGTTGTTGACGATGATTATAATGAATTAATTCACGATTGCATTTACATTGCTAAATATAGACCTTATTCACATTCCTTATTATGGAGAGGAACTGGAGATAAATAATTGACAGCTCAGAGGAAGTAATTAATTTTTTTAGAAATTTCTGGGGATAACAAAGAGTCTAGTAAAACAGAAATGATGTCTATTGCAAAGTTAAAAGTAAAAAATATCTTTTAAAATTCTGAAAATGAGTTTTCAGTCATATTTTACTACAACTGTTATATAAACATTTCAAAAAATGATGAATCAATGAAAGCATAAATTTCATACACAAAATTAATTATTTTTTCCATTCTCTCGGTCAACATTATCCTCGTTACTCTTAAAATGCAATGTTTAGATGCTGTAGTCAAACACTGAAGTCAAATGAAATATTATTATTTTTTTAGTTCTGTAATTAAATTTCAAGTATTATTATATTTAAGAACAAATGTTACACAAATGAATACATGTCATTTTTTTATCAAAGACAATACAGGGAACCCCCTTAAAGAAGTGTTACCTGCTAATTTAAAAGATTTTAACATTTCAAAAACATGGGATAGTAATAATTTACAGCTACAATCATTAAATCTCTTAAAATTGTATTTCATAATTGAATTTTCAATTTACCACCAAAAGAAACACTGTAACATATATAAGTTTATTTTTGTTAAATTTCTTCAAACAATTTAATTGGTATGGAATTACCAAATCGCAAAACATTAATGGCATCATTACCATAAATTGTTATTGATTAATAATCAATTAATGTAACTTGTACCAGAACAGCTTTACACAATTCATTAATTATGAAAACATTAAAATCACTTTTTCACTTCATTATTAATGGAGGTTTGTAAACCAACTTAAGGATTTCGAGAATGAGTATTGACCATTACTCAAAAGTTCAATAAAATAGTAGAAAATACATTTGAGGACATCAAATGACTTAACTTGATGGATGGATAGATAGTGAAATAAAAACTATAAGTAAATTGTTGACCAATTGTCAGTGGCAAAGCTGAAGGGTATTCTGGGAGCCTCAAAATACCCAAATTATTCCTCCGCATGCATCAACTTGTTCTTAGTGTTGCAGAGTATGTCACACTGGCTATGGGTCACTCTCATAACTTTTCAGTTCATGACATCGAAATGCAGTTTTTGCTCAACAATGCGGAATCGTGAGGCAAGTAATATGCTGTAGAGATTGAAATAGTAAAAATACATAGTAATATGCCATGTTAGATATGAAGAGACTTTTGAAATTTGCAACAAAGCAGGCATGACCATGAACGAACTTTCAGAATTAGCATTATTTGGACGACTCAATATTTTTTTCTTTTAAAATTAAAGATACAGTAGTGACTCGCATGGAATACAGGTTTCAAGATTTTGAAAACTTTCATTTTATTGAATTTCTTAACGAAAAGCAGTTTTTCACCTACAAAGTGTAGTTTTGTTCAGAAAAGTTTTCTTTCCTAATAAAACAATATCCATTCTTTAAGAATGAGCAGCTTCAAAATGAACTCACAAATGTACAATTGATAATTCAAATACATGCCTGAAGTATTTGTTGGAGAAAGTGGTCTAGAAAAGCATTAACAGGAGACAGTTCAGTTGTTACAACTCGGTCTAATATTCCCTGTATCTACAGCATTACGTGAAATTAATATAATTATATTAAAAAGAATAAAAACAGAATATCAGGATCAGTAAATTCAGTACCCTAACTATTGAGTATGCTAAATGCAGAAACAACAGCTTTAAAGAATAAATTATCATTGCTTTTGCGAGAAAAAACAATGAATGGAGCCCAATTACAAAAAAGTGTACAATAAGGTTTTCAGAATACCCAACTGCATGACTACCTTCACCACAGGATATTGTCAGAATTAAATTAAATTATGATCATACAAAATAATACATTAGATTGTGAATTTCTCCATGAGAAATAATGCAGTCATAAATTTAAGATTCACACCTGTTTATATTATTGATAAACTTACCTAGCAGCTGCACCAAGTTGGGATGTTTCATTTCCTTCATAATGGCAGCTTCCTCCAGGAAATCCTTGAGAGCCATTGTATCTTCCTACAAGTAAATGAAAAGAAACTACAATACATCAAAGGAAATGCAAACATCAAATGAATGTATTTATGAGTTCAAAACTTACAATCTGAATGGCATACAAACAGTGTTAATTTTTTTTATTTATCATAACTGGAATTATAACTTAATTGTCCTGTGATTTTTGAAATACAAATAAATATAATTTTTTGATGAAGGGTCTATCATATATTTTATATACCAATATTAATAAATTATTTTGTTGATAGATTAAATTGTTCAACATCTACACCTTAGCTGGTCACTGCTGCAAGTACTACTTTTGAATGGTGGGTTTATTTATGCTTCACGATAGTATGAACCATGCAGCATATACAATGATCTACAACCACCATTCATACTACCAGAAGTGTTCTGCAAACCCAAATATCAGTCCTCTGTACTTGAACTATCAAGATGAGTGAATTACTGACAATACTCTTACTTTTAGAGTTTTCACTGCAACAGTCATATTGTATCGCTTCCATACAGCTTCATAAACATCACCATACTGACCACCACCAAGCTTGTGGCGCATAACAATGTCTGTTCGGTTAATCTCCCATTCGTCAGGCTCTACAAATAAAATAAATTTATAATTAGAAATATGTTTAAAAATTACACTTGCTCCAATAACTAACACTTCACTTATTAAATCAAATCTTTCCATTAGATTAGATTATTTATTTCATTCAGCTGGTCATAACGTAAGACAAGGGACAAGATATTTTATATAATACAGCTATAATATTATACAACATAATAATAAACGAAACATACACACAATAGAAGCATATTTAATATTATACATACTTAACACAAGCAATCCTTCAACCCACTATATCCAATTAATACATCTTCAAAACACTTCTCAAAGAATCAAGGCTTACATATGAAGGCATCAGCACAACTGCGGCCTAACCCACATTTTTGAAATTGGGGGATCTGTAGTAATCACACATTAATCTGCTTAACTTCTATGTGTAAAAGTTTCAACATGTTCTCATTAATACTACTCACAGAAATTCCAGAAAGTGATATTGTTGCACTCAGTAAATGATAACATTACTTTGTGCAAGAGTAGCCTATGCAGCATAGGCTATTCTTTCTTCCAAACAATCACCATCATGTTTACTTTATTAATAAAACTTAGCTTAGCTTATGGATCAATTCATATGTTCATCATCAATGTTAAAATTTAAATTGCCCAGGATTGTAAAGAAGAAAGATTTAATGACTGATGTATTTTATACCACCTACGTGCCATCCATTTTAGATAGATTTAAAATCTTCTGTAGAAGAAAGTGCAGAAATACTGCCTGTTAATTGATTTTTGATTAACATAAATCTAGAAATATACTTCTCAATCAATTTTTGTTGTAGTAATATACTTTCCGAATTTTATTATTGGAATTATTATTACCATTATGAATAGAAAAGTACAACAACAAAGTAATTATTCATTTAAATTTCTGCATTTGCCACACAATTAAATACTTTACTATTTTATTATTATTATTATTATTATTATTATTATTATTATTATTATTACTATTATCACTATTATTATTATTATTATTATTATTATTATTACTACTATTATTATTATTGCCATTAACTTCATTAGTCATTTTCTCTAACAAGGAAAGGGATATTGGCCACTCCTGTGCCAATACCCTAAAACGAATCTGAAAATTATTTTACTTGATATTCTCAAATAATTTGCCATTTACTTTACTATACATCCAGACTTAAAATTCTCATCAAATCACTCTCAATCTCTTCAGGAAAAGTATCTTTGCACTTACTGTGAAAAATTGCTGTAAAGGGGCACCGGTACAACAAAATTCTCCTACACCATGAATCGGGTCACTCATTCATTTTAGTTCATAAACTAAATGAAATTACCCACTCATTTACTTTGTGACAAACAAGGTAGTTCACTAGTGAAAAGAACTAAATAGCCCTAATTTAAAAAAAATAATTCACGACTACAAGTACATCACAAAGTAATGATTATAATTTTATATCAAGGAGTAAATTATGAGTAAAAAGTACTTTCTGTTAAAAGTAACAATTACATTCTAAAATTACTTCCTGATTTACTAGAGACATATTTAGAAATTGTGTTGGTATCTTCCACTACCGAGCACGATTTCTACCATTTGTTTACAGTTAGTAAGAAATAATTGAAACCAATCATGGGCAATCCCTTGTATTCCAATAACCTCCTTTTTATCTAGTAAAATAACAATGCTCAATTAGATTTAATGCTTTAGTAAGATCTAAGAATAATCCTATATTGATGTTCTTTATCGACTGAATGATAAACATTTTCTATGAAATCCATTATAGCTGTGTTTGTAGTAAATATGGAAAAGTATAGAAATATAAACATCGGAAAAATATGTACATCTCTTCTTCTTTTGCCGTTTTCTTAACCACTACTTCGGTCTTCCAACGCCTAGTCTTCTTCTCCAGTCTTCCCTGTCCTTCCAAGAATCAGGTGATAATTTCCACTTCTGATTATGTTTCTAATCTGGTCGTTCCATCCTGGTCTTGGTATGCTTCATTTTCTCCTTTCACTTGGTTGCCATTCTAGGGATCTGGGTAGTCTCTCTCGTCCATTCGCTATACATGTACAAATCAAGTTAGTTGTTTCTTTTCAATTTCCTCTATAATATCATGTTGCAGATTCATTACTTCCAATACCTGTTCCTTCCTTATTCTTTACCTTCTAGATATTGCTGCAGCTCTTCTGAGGAAATCCATTTCCAAAGCTCTCCATTTTTTTCTGTTGTTCTGAGAGCTGCCATATTTCTGCTCCATTCAATGTAACACTTTCAATCATATATTTATTTATTCTAATTTCGTTTTTTTTGCTTATATTGGATCCCAGATAACTGCATTCAGAGCTCCCTAAAATTTTTCTCCTTTAATGAGTCGGTTTCACATTACTTTCCATAAAAACCATGTTTTTCCTATTGTTGATCCCAAGTACTTTATGTCCTCAGTTATTCTTATTATTTCTCCAGTTTCCATAGTCAATACGTCATGAGTACTGCCTAGAGTCCAGTATACTGTTTTTTCTAGGTTGAGGTTTAGTCCACATTTCTCAAAATCTTCTTTTATCTTCCTAGTCATTATATTCAATATCTTCTTGTTTTTGGCCATCAGCACCTGATCATCGCACGCATTTGCACCTGTAGGGTATAGAGTTTTGTATTATCATCAAGTGGTATTTCCACCCCAGCACATTTTCTTTTCCATACCTGTAACATTGTATTAACATACATTTTGAAGAGGGTAGGTGACAAACAGCATCCTTGCTGTAGTCCTTTTGATATAGGTAATGTTTGGGTCATCTGATTTCCAACTTTCACTTTTCCCTTTTGATCTATATACAGTTTTTTCACCGCATTTATTAAGATTTTATTTACATTACTTTTATTCATAACTTCCCATAACTTTATTACTGGCACACTATCATACGCCTTTGCTATATCAAGGAAGACCATGTGAAGTTCTCTCCCTGTTTGCTTTTTCTTTTGCATCACCTGGGATAGACAAAACAGGTTATATAAGCAAGATCGACCTGTGCTAAAACCACTTTTGTTCTTCTTCGTACTCCTTGTATCCATCTATTAATTATCTTAATGTTCTTCCATATACATCCATACTGAACGTGTTTGTCACTGTTATCCCTCTAAAATTTTCACATGTCTTTTCTTCCTTTCTTATATATTGGTGTTATATAAGCCATTTTCCAGTCTCCTGGTATTACCTCTGCCTTTATTTACACACATATTCATTAGCTTCATCATCATTCGCACTAGCTTTGGTGTTCCATTCTTTATCAGTTCACTTGGGATTTCTCCTGAACCCGAAGCTTTACCGACTTTAATTTCTTTGATACATCTCTTAACTCTTTCTTTGGTTACTGTAATTTCCCTTGCCGGAGATATCTTTTCCCTTTCTGTAGTTCCAAGAAAGTCTGATCTTCCTTCATTTAATAATTTTCTAAAGCATTCTTCCCATTTGCTTGTATGTACATAAATATGTCATGTAAACAGGGTTAATATGTAAGAAATGTTAAAAATAGGATATAATAAGTAACATTAAAACACACTAATTGTAAAACACATTAACCCACAACAAAATTACATTTATCAAAACTTTCCTTAACAAATTTTTAAACATAAAGCAAAAGTATTAAAAATAATTTGAAGAGCACAAGGCGATGCTCATTTTGCACCACATAACTTTCCTGTCAGTAATAAAAGATTCATCTATAGCTATCTCGGACAGTAGTTTAGCACCCAGACAAGACACAAACGCAATAGGCGCCCTCATTCTATTTGGCGATATCTACGACAATCAATCACTGCAACGTGTAAGAGTCATCGAAGTGATACACGTTGGTGAGCACCAGTTTCTTGGAAATTACAATTAAAGGTCATGGAACCCAGCGTCAGCGATACTTTTTACACCTTAAGGTGAAAATAATCTCATTTACTGATGAGCTCTTCCTGCCACTAAGATAAATGAAGAAGGCTCACAGGACTGTAAGAACATACAACCTTGTCTTAATGTAGCACATCTCAATTTGACAGTTCTCAGTAGCAACATAGAAAAATACATTCTGATATTTTTGAAAATACATTTCTAAAAATATAACATAGAAGAAAATTGGTCAATTAATTGGGCTGTTTTGTAAAAATAGCAAAACTTGTAAAATATGTAATGTAGTAATAAATATGTAAAAATATGTAACTAAAAATTGGATATTATGTTATGACAGTGATGATTTGTCAAGATTAGTTTTGAGAAAAAGAAGTAGAAAGACGAAAGATATATAATTACATAAATCCAGTCTCTAGTTATTAGTTTACACTTTCTTAAAAATGTAGTAAATTTATTATACATGATCTTTTCTTTATTTTCAAAAACACTGATAAAAGTGAATCTGGTTCCCCATTTGTTTCTAATTCCTTCAAATATATTGTTTAACTTTCACCATTTTTAAATGAACAGGAAAATGTATAGCTTGAAATGACAAGTGTAATGGGTTATACAATGTTCCTGTGACATTTTTTACCAAGTGATCTAAGATCTCATCTACACCTCTGGATTTCTTATTGCTCAATCCTTTTATAATGGCTGTCACATCCTATTTATTTGTTGGGGTTACAAACATTGAACTGAAATTACAAGTTTCTGTATTTTTGAGCCTCCCATTAGTGCTAGTGTTGCATAAGAAGGGTATTCCATTACAATAATTTATTAATTACAGTTCCTAATTTCCTTGAAAATAAATTAAAGGTACTGGTTGGTGTTCTATAAATGCAACTGATAATGATATATAGTTGAAAATTCTATCATACTGGCAACACAATACTCTTTGATACACCATTTTTTAAGTACAGTTGATTCTTGAATTTTCATGTGTGCAAGATCCACCATATTGTTAATTTTTATGACAAAATTTTGCTTTAAGGGAATAGTTTTTAAAATGACAGAACTCAAATCTTTTTTCTGAAGCCTATACTTGTCCATACATTTAAAACCCAAACTCAAACAATTTATCGTTAAACATAACATCAGTTTAGTTTCTTATTTCCTAACCACTGTACATGTTGGTGATATATTTTTAATTTGCCGGAATTACCTATAAAATTATCCGTGTCATGATCTTCCCTAAAAATATCTGCCAACCTTTTGAGACTGCATTCTTATCCTGCTAAAAGAGTGAACTATTACTTGTCGATTCTCATTCTGAGATTGTTCTGTCACTGCACACGAGTATCCATTTCACAAGATAATTATCCGATGAAATTAAATTAATTGGTAGGATAAAAATGTGTTGCTGATGATTCACAACAAAATCACAATGTCCATTTCACATCAAAAGTAATGAACTAAACTAATGTTAGTTTCAAAATAATATTAATTATTATTTTCAATTATTAGAAACTTAAAGTAAGTATCTTACCAGGACTAAGAGCAAACACAGTAGGCTTGTTATGTTTTGGTGCGGGATACAGCAACTGAGTAATGAGGCCATCTGAATGCATCGAGTGATGATGCACCAATTCAGCGAGTGTGTTAAACTTGCTTTCTGTTGTCACATACACCTACAAAAATTCAAATTCAAATTGTAATAACCTCAAAATTGTTAATTCGCGATAAACAAAATACCCTCTCTCTAAAAATAACTATAAATATAATATAATCAAACACAGACATATGTACACATACATGCATATCAATGCTTTTTACATTTTACACTTCATTCCACACATTTTCTTTAAATGCCAATGATGATGCAAAAATTTGTTTTGCTTTCAAGCATCCTACGTTTGGTTACGAACCACAGGTTTAAAACAAATTTCTTTGACCTTTCAATAAAGACAATTTAGTGGGTTTATTTCAATTTCTTCCACTTGAAATCACCTCTTGATTTCCTCTGAATTGTAAAAAAGTTAATCTATAATTTTTAATTTCCAAATTCTTTCCTATTTGGTCTTCAAAATTTCCCTACTTCATAATAAAACAAACAAATTGTTCTCTTTCTCACTTGGACGCCAAAAAAAATCACACACTTCTGTCCAAAAGAATAGATGTTTTGAGAGTCTGTATCACTGTGGACTATTAGCTAATAATAAATATTATAAAAACAGTATTAAAATTTGGAATGTGTTGAGAGAAGGCAATAAAATGTACTATAATGTAAACATAGTGTTGTGCAATGAATGTATTAATTGTTTTACTTTTTATTTTTATTACTTTTATTATTATCATTTATTTTATAAAATTAGATGATAATAATAATTATTATTTTATTATTATATTATTATCATCATCAATATAGTCAATATAGTTATTATCAATATCCAGAGAAATCAACCTAGTACATGTCACTTATTTCAATACACATTAGTATTGTAGTATTGAATTGAATTGAATTTGCCTTATTTTACGTGGCGAGACTCGGGCCATCAGGCCCGCTCTCCGCTCTTTCCGTCTGGCCACATTGAGGCAAATTCGGGGCTTTTTGGCGTACGGCTCCTTTCACATTCACCAACTAGGAGAGAAAG